TATTATTTGTTTATCATGACACTTAGATAATTTAAATTCCTCTAAATATAGAAGAGAACCACCATGAATAGATCACAGCATACACATTTTATATTAGGTCTCACAGAAATTGCTAAGCATTACAACATTTCTACAGGTTATATAAAGTAATAAGAACAGATAATGGTTATATAATGAAGGGAACAGATGTTTCCTAACCTCTTTTTCCACAGTAAAATTTACTGGGACAGATTAGAGAGGGAAAAAAAGGAGAAAGAAGAAAGAGAATGCAAAAGAGAAGGATGTAGATATTTCCCATATTTCTATATACAGTGATATTTTTGGGATGACTTGGTTCCTAGATGTAATACAAATTTATGGAAAGCATCCTAATTGGATAATTTTATAAATGCCAAATTTGAGCAGACTGAATCAGAAGACCTATATAATTTAGTAAAATTAGCCCCACCTGTCTCATTTCTTTATGGAATTCATCATAACCTCCCAAGTAGGTACAAAATATGTATTTCATCCTAAAATAACATGCTTAATTCTTATTTGCCTTTGAAATCATGTCATCCACATATAAGTGCTTGAAATATATTAAAATAAATTAAATCTGTTTTATTATAACTTATAGGTGTCCTCATGTTAGAAATAAACATCATCTGAGAAATTTCAGTTTATAGTTACCATAATTATGACAAGTTAAAATATACTTTCATTTATTAATATTCCAAATTTTTTAATTTGAACAGGTTTATTTTAATAAACTATGAAAAATACAAGTACATTAAGAATTTACTAACCAAAAGGTAATATTCATTTTCTTCCAAAAGGGAGTTGAAAAACTATCCAAATGATTTTTAGACCCTACTATAAGATTATGACTACTGAAAATCAACAAGCATGCTATCTTAAGTTTTATAAAATTCTAAGAATTGTTCATGATGAGGTCTAAGACAGCTAGATTAGTATGATAAATAATAATATTTATGTAACAGAAAATTTTTCATAACATAGTAGTCAACAGAGACCAACAAATTATTGGCTACCCCATGACAGATATATAATTTCAAGCTCTACTATGATGCTAATTCATAGTAAGAAAGTTAAGAAAACACATTATTGGTAAATCTATAGATGACACTGACTTTTAAAATGACACCTAGCAGTTGCTTTTTTAAGCAGGTCTAGAAAATTGATTTTTATCAATGGAAGTTTCCATTTACAAAATGTAAGAGGTTCATTGGAAAACAGTCTGACAATAAAGACAGTTGTTTTCCAAAGCATTTATATATGTTTAAAATGTATATATTGCCAGGTCATTCCCTAGAAATTCTAATTCAGTAGGTGTGGGATAAGCTCACGAATCTATAGTACACGATGCAATTTTTCTGCTGCAAAACCTTTTAGAAACCTCATCCACAGTAGACATTATTTCCGTCTTCACATGATGTATCATTTGGGCATTGTGCAAGTCCCGTCAATAGAGTGATTGAAATTTAAAAGTTTATTTGACTATAAAAATGTTAAAATGAAACTTTGTCTGTACAAAATTTACATTTTCAGTAAATTATTTGATCTCTATACAAAAATTACTAATATTTCCAAAGTTATACTTTCCTAAGTGTGTTACAAAGGAGATTAATCAAACATTATGGTATTTATAATAGAATATCTTTTCCCTTAATAAGTTACACATTTTCCTTGACATTGTGTAAACTAAGAGAAGTGTGAGAATTTTTATTTAGAGAGTCACAAGAAGGAAAACTTAAAAATACCTGACTCCCATATTGGTTATGGCAGTGGTGACTTAGGATCTCCTGATATTAGTAAAACTATGAACTTACTTGTTAGTTTACAGAACTATTTGCATGGAGATGATGAAAACTTAACTTACTCCCGGTGTACTGTGAAAAGCTACTTCTGTGATTTCACCTATTTGAAATTCATGGACTCTTCTAACTTTGAGCACAACCAGAGGGGAAATGCGCTTAAGCAAACCTGGTTTGAATATGAAAAACACCAGGCACACGACATACCTGATTATAGTCAACAAAGAATCAAACACGGTACTAGTTTATATTTTTCAATTCAATTACTTACCATAACTCTGAAGCTCATTTTGTAATGACTGTCAATCTAAATGTTATGAAATATTTATAAAAGAGAATATTCAAAATATTCATAAAAGAGAATAATAGTTTGCTTGTTCAGTCTAGACATATAACATTTTTGCTTAAAAAATAATGGACCAGAAAGCTGAAAGTGATCTTGTGTTCTTCATGGGACAGGTAGTCAAATCTCTGCTTTCTGAGCTAATGATTGTTGAAAATTATCTTGGAAATAGTCACCCAGCTGCTTTACAAGGCTTCAGGAGTTGAGAAGCCTATTACTTCTTGTGATAATCTTCTCCTTTCCACTTTAGGATAAATCATTTATTTCTAATAAAACACTATGGCTGAGATTTAAGTTCATTTTCTCAGATACACAAAGAGATCTGGATAGCTAATGAGTCTCCTATTTTAAAATAACCCTTCAAACATTGGGACCAATACTGTCTCCATCCCTTCTTAGCTGTGGAAATTGGAAAGTAATAAAATCATACATATGTTCAGCATAAAAAAATAAATGCAATTTCATTGTACTTTAATCTTTAAGAATTTTTGTTTGTCTTACTTCAGTTCATCCTCAAAACAACCCAATGAGGATACTTTTTAAATCAAAACAATTTTTTTTTTAATTTTCACTTTTTTTTGGAGTATAGTTGATGAACAAGGTTCTGTTAGTTTCAGGTGTAGAGCAGAGTGATTCAGTTATACATATATATCTATTCTTTTCAAATTATTCTCCCCTTTAGATGTCATTGTACATTTTTGAGCAGAGTGCCTTGTGCTATACAGTAGCAAATCAAAATATTTTTCCAAAATGAAAATATATTTCCAAATGAAAATACTTTAATTGCTGTAGGCCAGTTTGTTATGTCAGGTGATGGGAAAACATGTGACTAAGAAAATCCACCTGTTTACGTCAGTAGTTATAAAGATAAACTGAAATAATAAACATTAAATACTTTTAAAATTAATAAAGCACTTCTCAAATGCAAGGTTGTAACATAAGTAATAATATATCCACTATTATGCTATTCCTCAATTCACTGAGTGGAAGAAATATTCACACGCATTGAGATATGGTGAAGTCAGCTTGGCTTACACATGATCTGGCTTGAACTAGAACAGCCTGTCTTATCGTCTGTCAACATGCACTGTATACTTGCTTTAATCATTAATAAAAAGGATGCATTTAAAAATCAAAATGGAGTAACTATGGTTCAGGCATCCAGGATGGAGCCGAGAGGTCTCTTCATTTTCTGCCATTTAAGTGGTATCATCTGCATATTTGAGGCTGCTGGTATTTCTCCCTACAGTCATGATTCCAGTTTGAGTTTCCTCCAGCCCAGCATGGAAGTTAAAAAAGCAGATGTACTCTGCATAGAATTAAATAAGCAGAGTGACAATATACAGCCTTGTTGTACTTCTTTCCCAATTTTGAACAAGTTGGTTGTTCCATGTCTGGCTGTAACTGTTGCTTCTTGACCCCCATGAGGTTTCTCAGGAGACACATACAGTGGTCTGATGTTCCCATCTCTTTAAGAATTTTCCATAGTTTGTTGTGATCCACACAGTGAAAGGCATGAGCATAGTCAATGAAACAGAAGTAGATGTTTTTTCTGGAACTCCCTTGCTTTCTCCATGATCCAAAGGATATTGACAATTGATCTCTGGTTCCTCCAATGCTTCAAAACCCAGCTTGTGTATCTGGAAGTTCTCAGTTCACAAACTGCTGAATCCTAGCTTGAAGAATTTTGAGCATAACGTTGCTAGCATGTGAAGTGAGCACAATTGTATAATAGTTTGAACATTCTTTGGCATTTTGGCATCCCTTCTTTGGGATTGGAATGAAAACCGGCCTTTCACAGGTCAAAGTATGAGCACACAGTTTTTTCATCTTTCCAAAAAGCCCTAGATTTAATATTTCTACCAAATGAGTAGATGGAGTTGCTGACTACTAGCTCACTGTCAGAGGAACAAATAAGTGTGTTCCACATTCTTTATACATTAACTCATAAACCCCTTCCTATAACTTTATGAGTTTATGAGGAAACTGGGGCAAAGAAGAGTAAAGTAACTTGCTCAACAAGATCAAATAAGAGCTCATAAGCAGCAGAACCAGGACCTAAACTGAAGAACACCAAAACCTACATTTTTCAAAGTTTTTGTTAATGGGTAAAGCACTTTTTAAAGTTCTATATTTTTAATATAATAACACAAGAGCAAAAACTCATTCATTGTCACTGAAAATTTCTCAAACTCCATTCAAATTCTAATTTATTATGGTGATTTTTTTATACACAAACTTACAAAAGTAGCTCATTCACATGGTCTTTCTTTGCTCTTTCATTCAAGCATTTCTTCTCAACATGTTTGCAATTATTCTGAGGTCTATATTACTAAACACAGGCTAACTTAAGTGGAAATCTTGTTAATGTTTTGACATTTTCTACAAAAATAATTTCCTAAAAATACCTACCTGAAGTTACCAATTAGCTTTCTTGACATGAAATGAAATAAGGGAAAGGCTCTTTTACTCAGCTTTGGAATCACAAAATACTTTTAGCAACTTGGAGCATAAATTTTCATATGAAAAATCTACTATTTCTCTGAAATTTCTTTGAACAAAATATAGGCTGATTTGTGATATCTAGAAAAGCATTATTTTAAGGAATTATAATTTGATTTGCTATATAAACAAATGCCCTACATGGGAGCCTATGGCAATTAAATTTTACAGTTTCTAACTTAAAAAAATTTTTCATGTATCACAGAATTTTCTGGAAAGAAAAGACATTGGTCTCACATATACTACAGAAATCATTTGGTCTGTTAAAAAGTTATAGAGACTTTTAAAACATTTGTTGTGGATAACGAACATAAAACATTCAGGTTGTAGTTCCATACCTGTTTTATTGGAAAGTCTAAATGACACCATCTTATCAGGGATATTACATACATTCCTCACTGAAGCAATGCAGCTATAATTAGCATAGTCCTGCGGTCGAAGATTCTTTAGTTTTAAGATCTTCGTTTCACCCTGAAAATGTAGAAAAAGTCATTAGAAAAAGTTAGTGGTAACCGAATTAATAAATGGATGAATGATGACATTATATTTTAAATCATATTATCAGAATATGGCAAATTTTCATTTATTTTTTAAAAATGCCCTGAATTTTTAAAATGTATTGCATTTAAATATCATACTGCAATGTGCTTGGAGATAAAAACTAACAAACAGCAATGAAAATTCATAACAATTTCTTTACAAACCAGCTTCCTAAGAGGGGGGGGATCTATTTCTGGTGGTAGTTATGCAAATTATTATGCAAAGATCAGAACAGTGTACTTAATAATGGAGTCTATTCAACAAACAGTGTAATCTATGCAGACTTCAACATGAAATGTTATGAAAGAAAAGGATTCTGAGATGAGACAATAAATGAAACACTGTTGGATGAACAAAGTTAATGAAGTCAATCTAATGATAGATAATTAAATTTATATACATAAATATTTTGTGTATATGCAGCAATGGCAGATGATAGATCTAAAACTGCATTTAAGGAGTATTCATTATGTTTTCATATTATTTTTGTTCCTGTTACTTTACATTCAGGAATTTAAAGTCTAAACCTCCTGGGTAAATCTGCAGAATTGCAGATAGACTCAAATTAGGCAAGTTGCCAAAAATGTCTTATCCACTCTTGATGAACCAAAAAGCCCAAACAAAAACACTGAAATTATTCAAAAGATAAAAAGAACCACCAACAACAATAAGATGATGAAAAAAAACTTGCCCAATTCAAATACAATCTCCTGGGATTTTTTTCTTTACCGGCTAAAGTTATTAATGCATCTCTCAAAATGGTTCCTCTCACAAGTAACTTAATTATGGAGATGGTAAAAATGTCTCCCAATGATATCTTATTTGGTATAGCCATTTTCAAAATGTTAATTTTTCCAGATAACATCTGTACAGAACCATGTGTTTCTTTTATTTTACTTAAGGAACTTCATTCAAGTCCTAAAAATTGAAATACTTTCATACACTATTCAAAAGAATCAGAATACTTAGTGATATAATACATAAGACATGGCCTGTTCATTTGCAAAAAAAGAAAAGAAAAGAAAAACCACCTCCCCACCAAAAAAAAAGCATAGGCAGTTACACAGTGTTTTCAAAATGTCAAATGAATCTTCTTCAGTGTGTATAGGCATTTGGTTAACTCCTTTCATTCATTGGCAAACTTCAGTCTTAAAACAGTCACACCTTAAAACAGTAGTTTCCTCACTAGGATAAATAATAATCATATCTTTTAAATTTTTTGTATGAAAAACATTGCATTTTCTCTGTATAAGCAAATGCAAATACACTCCACAGAATATACAAAGAGTCAGTGAGTGTGGTTCTAGAATTTATATTTAAAACATGTTCTCAATATATTACTGAACTTTCATATTATCTATATACAATGTATATAAAAGTGTGCTTAGTTAGAAAGCATAGAGAAAGAATATGTTATGCTACAACCAGTTGGCTCAGATAATTTTTTGAACAAGATACTATATCTTCCTCCTCATAACTCTGAATGTCATTGCTTAGATTTCTTTACTTTTCTTTCTCCCCTTAACACTTGACTGTCGATATTCTCTGGAATTCTATTTGTTCCACAGTTAGTCATACTTTATAAAATTTCCTTAAATGATTTTATCCTTGCTGATGAATTTATACTGCAAGCCCTATATTCCTGCCCTTTTCTTCAAGTCTATCTCTTTGTCTCAATTTCAGATGTACACAGCAAAACTTTTACATCAATTTTGTCCATTTTTGTCTTGTAGATACCTAAAACTCAACATATCCCAAAACAGACTTCAATCTATTCCTCTAAATCTACTCTCTCTTTTTTAGCAAAAGGAATCTTAGATTTTAAATTATTAATTCATATTCACCTCTCAGATTTTTTTATTGACCTTGCAACACATCCAATCTTGAACATTCTTTTATTTATATTTAAACATAATGCTCTAAGCCCAACATTCAGCTGAGAAATTTCTGATTGTTCTTAGTATAGCTTAAGAATCCAAGCAAATATGATCATCTAATCTAGAATCAGGACTTTTGTTTTTAATATGGAAATCTGATTATGCCCTCTCTCTGCTTAATTCAAAGGAATGACATGTTATTGTTCTTAAAAATAAACATCATAATTCTTAACATGACTGTCAACCCTTTCTTTGTGACCTGCATTTTCCTCCTCTCCCATCTCCTCTCATTTTCCTAATGCCTTCCACACATTCAGCTTCCTGTGGCCATAGCCACTCTGCACATGCCCGATTCCTTCCTTCTCTATGCCTAACCAATTTTATCTCATTCTTCAATCCCAACCCTCCTCACTTCCACAGTTGAGTCTTTCCTTACTTTCTGGAAAAGGAGATATCCCTTTTTGTGAGGTCTGCTTATATCATGTTATAACGCAGTTTCTTTTTTCCACTTATTTTGGTAACGGATTTATTTTCTGCCATACTCCCCCCCTGCTAGTAAGACCAAGAGGGCAGAGATTATATCTGTCTTGTTCTCAGCAGTATGTCCTAAGCACCTAGCAGAGGATTTGTCATAGGTGAGATACTTTTTAAACAAATTCTTTTGCAATTAAAAGTACTATGAATACTTATATCTCACCACTCAACATTTTGCTTATACATATTTATTTCCCCAGAATTTATTTCTGCTTGGCACCTGATATGAATTCAATAGACATTAATAAATATAATCAATATTCTAAAATGAACCAGGCAGTGATAACAATTCTTAAATATTTACAAAGGATAAATGGTGGCACTTAGATGTATATTTAATGATAAAGCCTCTTTATTTACATAGAATTGATGATATTCTGTCAGTGTTCTTTGTTTCTGTTTCCACTAGCAAATTATATTTGATCCATATTTTCCAGATATTTTTTTAACACTTCACTGAAACTTCCAATGTCACTAATAATCTCTTTTGTTAAAATTCAATAAATCTTAATACATATTTTCATTTCCTTTTTATGTGTGTATACTTTTCCACTTACTTCTAATACTTTAGATTACCTTTGCTATTTTGACAGCAGCTTGTGTGTAGGTAAAAAATTATAAATAAAATAATTTAGACACTTTTTGGTTGCATTTATTTCATTTTCTATTATATAAATTTTTGTCTGAAAACTTCTACTACTACTATTTTTCTAGAGCAATCTGATGCATGATCATGGTTTCAGTTAGCATTTATGTATAGATACCTAACAAATTTCTAAGCCAAAACACACACACTTTTGGAAAAATAGCCAACAGTATTGCAATTAATGAAATCCTGCTTTTCCAAAATTTTCCTTTCTTTTTAGTTGCAATGTTTGCTAGCCATTACACTCTTGCATTTGAGTGTCTCCACATCCCATCTGGATCTCTAAAGATATTCTATCCTGGTTTTCTAATTCTTTCTGACTCTTCTTTTTATTGTTATTTTCCTTTACTGATTCTATTCTTTCTGCACTACAGAGCGTCTACCCCCCAAAAAGCCACTTCATATTTTGCCAACAAATAAGTTAGACTTGTCTCTCATTTTCAGATCAAATGTGTTCTCTCTTGGATTCCCCTTGGCCTCTCTATGAATGTTCTCTCCCACCATTTCTATTTATAACTCTGACCTCTTGACCTCATCTATGTATTTTGATAATTGCCTGACAAAGATTTTCATCAGCAAGACACAGAAGGTCATACCAAACTCAATGAGCTCACCATTGCACTCTACTTTGACTGCCTCACCTCATATAAATTTTCTCTTCTGATATTCTGCTACTTTTTAATGATCACCACCATCATTTTCCCCTATTCCAGACTCAAGATTCTTGTCATAATTCACTCTTCACTGTCTCTCATTACCTCACATAAATGGCATCAAATGCCTTAGATGATTTTTTAGTTTTTCTTTTATAAATGGCCTTTCCTTTTCAATCTGTAGGCATGATATTTTCTGTAGTCCCTCACCAACCATGGATTTAACAAACTCAGTTTGAGTGTCTTTTTGGCTAAAGTAATGTACTGTCTACTATTGAGAACTGCTGTTCTACTTTATTCTAATCACTCTGCATGCTCCCACCATACGTGTCATCATCATGTCACTGTCATGCTAGAAAACCCTAAATAGTTCTCCTACTCTGAAAGTTTATTTCAAAAACCTTCAGTGGCTCATTTGAGACTCCATGCAGTCCAAGAAAATTTTTACTTTTTTCCCTTATTCCTCACACAAATTTATTATGCATTCATTTATTATTTTATTTAATACTTATTCACACAAAGTTAGTTTCATCTCTATTTTAAGATGACTTTTCATAATTTTAAACTGTTGTTTTTTTTTTAAAGAAAACTACTCCTTGATATGAACCTTTTTATGTTGCCATAAACCGAAGTGCAGTTCAAAATAAAGTTGTATCTACTCTGTAAAGTCTATTTTTTTGTAAATATATTATATATATTATTGAAGTAGAGTTGACTTGCAATGTTTCAGGTTCACAGCAGCATCATAGGTTGTTACAAGATATTGACTATAGTCCCCTGTGCTAGACAGTAAACCTTTGTTGCTTGCTTCATATCTATTTTTTTAAATTAGAAATCTAGCATTCTATTCATATGAAGTCAAAGAAGAAAGTCTTTTCTGACCTTCTCAGAAGTAAATTCTTTTTCTTTGTAACTTTTATTACATTTTTATACCAAAATATCTATTTATAACTCACTAGTATTTGGTTGTAAGTTATTACTCAATATGCTGACATGTTCCTTAACTGAATCATGAGACCCCTAGGGGCAGAGTCATCTTATATCACTCAGAATACTGAATGGGGAGCCTTCTGTATCATTGCTTAACAAATATATGTTGATTGACAGGATGTACTTAAAATTGGTCTTTCCACTGATCGTATTCTACAAGAAGTAAGGTAGTCATAGTATATAATTATGACTCAAAAATAAAATGTATAAAAAAATAAAATCTACAAAAAT